GTATCTAAAGAATTATGATTATTATTTTATTTTATTATTTTAGGATACATTTAACAGGGTATTTTGTAATCAACCCCTTTGTTTTCCCCCTACATACTTATAAATTTCATAATAAACAGTAAATGCTTTAAATCTAGTTCAGCTTATCAGCCGTGTCGTTGCGATAGGTAGAGTACCTGCTTGAAAAAAAGCTAAATAAAGCAAAGCTTTTTTCATTAGAAGCTTTTTTAGCACTGCAAACTTATATAGCTGTTTTTTTCGTTTGCCAGCAGCAACAGCAAGTGCCATGGCTGATTTTAACGATAATGGAAACAATTATTGAGGCGATTGCAGCCATGTTAATGGCAAACAACAATAACAACAGTTATGGCAACACACGAGCGGAAAACGGAAACAACAATAAATGGCACAAATGGCAGATGCTGTTGAATTTCTAATTGAAAAATATTTTCTTTTCTGGAAAAAATTCAACTGTTGCGCGAAGTTTTCACGCTTCGAAGGCCCCGGCGAGATTCGAACTCACGATCTCCTGTTTACTAGACAGGCGCTTTAACCAACTAAGCCACGGCGCCCTGCGAGGTGCACTCGTCAAATGCCCTACAAATGGTGGCTGGACCGAATTCGAGAGCATTATTAAAAATAGCTGTGCATACAGAGAAAAGCGCCAAGGAAAATAGATGTATATTTAAAAGTCAAAGAGAGCGGGAGAGGTGCGTAGGCAAACTTTTGTTTGGCTGCAAGAACTAGTTATGTAATCTATGCCATATTTATCTACAACTTGTGCCAGTCGTCAAAGTATTTATAAGTAGACATATCTCTCGCTCTCTACTTCTGCCACTCTCCCTATCCCTCCCTTCAGCACTATCTCTGTACACATACTTTTGCAGCTGGCAGTAGGCATGTTTGCCTCTGTGAAGCTGAAGATAAATGCAAATGTTGGCCAAATGGAAATTATGTGTACTCTTGCGGCTACTCACGCGCACACACATATACATACATGCACACACCAGAGAACTTGAGCACTTGAAATGTATCTTTGAGTTCGCCTGCTAAACAGCATAAAAATAGCTGAAAGGCATTCACAAACTTACATTCTCCACTAACTGTGGCTACTGTCAGAGACTTCTCGTTGGGGACCTTTTGCCATTTATAGCCAGAGCAACTTATCTTTAAAGTTTCTTCCTTATGTCTGCACATAAATCAAGCGAAACCTTGAAACAGTTGCTAAACACATTAACACTAAATGCCATTAGGCTTACTACCTACAATTCCCGCTCCAATAACAATTGTTTCTCCTCTTCCGCCATTTATTGACTAACGCAACAGTTAAACACGCACGACAAACTTCTAATTCGCAACTACCAATTCCCAACTCCAGCTGTAACTGCGTTGCGACCAAACTAATTGCCTGAAGTTAGTTGCTCATCAAATTGCCGCATCATTTTACGCAGATTTTTATCGCACTGCCAACAACAGCAGCCACCGAACTTGACCAGAACAGCACATTCTAGCCAGGGTCCAGTGTCCAGGTCTGGCCCAGTCAACACACAAACACACACACACACACACAGACCCATATGGACAGCCAGTGCCAGTCGCCGTACCTAAAAGTATCTAATGCGTTTCCTGTGTATCAGCCATGTAGTCTGATGTGTTGTAACGTTGCCTGTATCTCGATGTGTCTATCTATGTTTTGTATACCCTGCAACAAATAGGAGCGAGCCAAAGTTGATTTTCTATTTAGATTTGACAAGTGAATGAACAATGAAGATACATAAGAAAAAAACTTTAGGTAAAGAAAGATTAAAATTAATTCTTAAGATTGAATAAATAAAATTAAGAAAAGGAAATCAGAAGTATAGCTTCTTTAGATCATATATTAAGGCAAGCGATTTTGTAAATTTAAAATTACTTTTTTTTTTTATAAGGTAATTTATCTGAATTCTATGCTCTGACTATATTCGAGAGTATTTGTGATTCGTTGAGTCGCTGTTAATCGCTTTTCGGGCTTGTAACATTGTAATTTGGCATGGAATTGAAGCGAATGCTTATCAGGACATGACTCCAATAAATTCGCTTTTGCCGTTTGGCGCTATCTCTCACTCAATGCAGGAGAAGGACTGAGGCGTATTTAACCCAATGTTGCCTTAGCCCCCGACTAACTATAGAGCTCAAAGAAAGGAAGCAAAACAAAGAGAGAGAGAGAGAGAGTGAGAGCGAAAGAGAGTGAGAGATTGAGCGACCCGATCTCAATGCATAGTTTGTGCCTGTTGGTGCCTGTCTGGCAATGCGCGGCAATTGAGTTTTTACGCAGTTCGACAAGGCTAAACAAAGTGGCGAAGGAGTAGGAGGTGGAGTTGGAGGATGTGGAGCCCAATGTCAATGTGTTGGCTTGCCTTTGGCTTAGCTGCGGGCTGTCAAGAGCTCCATTTTCGTTTCTATTTTTTTGTTGGGACTTTTCAGGGTATTTTTTTTTTCTGTGTGTGTGTGGGAGACAAATCTGCTTTGTTTTTATCTGATGCCGTTTCGTATTTAGCTGCAGCTTCTTATCCTGGTGGGAATGCGTACATTTGTGTGGCAGGATTAGAATGTGGCCAGTGGCAGGATGTGTGGGGGTAGCAGGGAGCGAGGGCGAGCCGGATTGCTGCTATGATATTGTAACTTTAACGCCGTCAAATAAAAGCGCACGTCATTAATCTGAAGCAATTTCTGAGCCAATTTCTCTTGAAATTTTATAATTATTACGACAGTGAGCGAGATGGAGAAAAGAGGGGTAGAGAGAGGGAGGGAGCAGCCCACAGAAGTGCCATAAAAGCCGCCAAGCGCCAATAATCTTAATTGAGCGACATTTCAAAAGCAATTAGAACCGAGCGCCAAAAACTCAGCCAATAGAACGCAAATGAAAATGAAAATAAAATGAAAAAGTAAAATGTGAAACATTTAATGACTGAGACTCGGGTCAGAGCACTTTAATTGCCAAGGGCCAACAACTTATTAGATTCCTTCTCATTGGAGCGCTTCTGTTTCTTTCTGCAAGATTTCCTGTAAATATGGAGAAATGTAAATATAAAGAAATATGTATCTATGTATCTATGTATCTATGTATCTATGTATCTATGTATCTATGTATCTATGTATCTATGTATCTATGTATCTATGTATCTATGTATCTATGTATCTATGTATCTATGTATCTATGTATCTATGTATCTATGTATCTTTGTATCTATGTATCTATGTATCTATGCATCTATGTATCTATGTATCTATGTATCTATGTATCTATGTATCTTATCTATGTAACTTACTTTAGGATGCGATTGAATAGCTTCCAGTCCTCTGTGATATTCCCAAAGAGCGACTGTAGGAAGATGCGTAGGAGTATGAGCTCCACGTTCAGATTGTAGCGCACTTGCAAATGACAACGGAGGGGCACCAGCGGGCGCATATGTCCCAACCTACGGATGGTCTTGTCGTGCACCAGTTCACTAAAGTCATGGCAGTCAATTTTGCTCATCTTGATCTGCTCGTTCCGTTCGATGCAGAGCCCGAAATGATGCTGTACCGAGACTTTGAACTCCTCTAAGATGTTCATCTCGGTGACCATCTTCTCCAGCATTTTGTTCAGCTGACAGCGCATATTTTCCACCAGGAGCAGCTCTTTGCGTGCTCTATGCAAATGCTGCACACGACTCTGCAGCTGGCAGCGCAGCAGACAGTTGCTGCGACGCAGCTGCTGCAGTTGTATTTGTTTCTGGTTGAGGAAGCCAGCTTGCTCTCCGGCCGAAACGCCGTCGTCTTCCTGCTCGCACGGATCGGGCGGTGTGTATATCAGCTTGGCTCGCATTTCCTTGAGACGCCGCTTAATCGCCTCCAGTTGCTGGTAGGGCAGATTCAGATCAGGCTCCTCTGCAGAAACAGTTTCATCATCAAAGTCGCTGGAGCTCAGTATTTCGCTCTCCTCTGGACTGATCACGCCCGCCGCTTGGCACGCATCGCCCTTATACCAATAGCTAACAATTTTATTCATATTGACAAAGTGTAACTAAAACTGTGTGTATTGAATTTAACTGTAAAACTGTGCGCTTGACGACAACTGGCCAGATCGTAAAAGCAAAGCCTTCCCGCCTGCCCGCCTGCCCCTGCCCAGATTTCTACTCCTATTTAATTGAGTTAAACAAATCTGCTGGCGCTCGTTTCACTTTCAATTAAATAAACAACT